CATGATGCCATTTATTTTGGTGATGTAAGAAATGTCCAAACCTGTGGAGAATTTTTCTGTTTATTTGACTCAAGTGGGAGACATTTGCCAGGAAGGAAAGTAACAACAGATAGAGTAATGCTTGGGAGAACAGCAGTTTTGCATCTTTTTTATACATTAGCCTCAAAGGAGAAGACATAAGGGGGTTACATGACATTCACTGGTGATAAATTAGGGGGGAGAGGTAAGGAGGAAAATATCTTGGATTGGATAAACAGTAAAAAAACACACACAATTATTTTTACGTCTATCGATTAGTTTACAATATTTAACACAACAGCAATAGTAATTGGGGTTCTGTCATCTTCTGTGCTGGGAGATTGTGCTTAGGAGTCTGTGGAACAGAAATGTCCCTGAACATCCCAAGGCATGTCATCCCAGATGCAAAAAGACGACAGGCTCAATAAGGTAAAAATTATCCTTTACAAAAAAAAATACAGGCTACTACATAAATAACCAGGTGACTAGCTTTTACTTGGAAAGTTTTAACTTCAAAGCATCCTATATGGATTACTTTTCGCCTCTGAGTTTGCAAGTTTGGCTATGCCATCCCAGGCTCCCTGAGCTTGCTAGATTTACTGTGTGCCGTCATATTTGTCCATACTGGGGAGTTAGAGCCTGTGATTGAGGAGGAAATTCAATGAATGGTTTATTCACTCAGGGACCTATTGTTATGTCCTCCTGAACAAATGCCCCCAGTATTGTTGGTGTCTCTTTAATTGGTCTCCTAGATGGAGTCACTCTTGAGGTCAAGAAAGCCTTAGGTGCTAAATGTGGTGGAGGTATTTGTAAGGACAAGAGAAAGGTCTGTTCCTTCGCTGAGGCCTTCCACAGTTTAGCAGAAGCAGCTGCTAATTAAACCCCAAGATTGTTGGCTCCTCTAAATCAAACAGCTCCTCTGTTCAAACTGCTGAACAAGATAAGCTCCTCTCAATGCTTCAGTCTTACATGCCCCTCCTTCCTGCTGTTGTCACACCTCTGGGCTTT